TGCGTGACGGCTACCTCCCGAACCCTCCACACCGGCACCCCCAGAAGGGACACCCCCAGAGCCCGAAACACCGCCAGCACCGGTACCACCCCCAGGCCCGCCGGGACAAGCCCCGACAGGAGCCCCGGGACTAGTACCCACCTCAACGCCAGCACCCCCAGAGTCCACAAACAGCGGCAGCGACGACGGCGGCGGCGGCGGCGGCGGCTGCAGCGACGGCATCGACGGCGGCGGCGGCGGAGACGACGGCTGCAGCAGCTGCGGCGACGGCGGCTGCGGAGGCGGTGGAGGAGGAGACACCGGGGGAGGGACAGACGGCGAGGACTGCGCCAAAGGACTACCGGAGTCAGAAGACTCGTCGACCGGAACGACCGACGGGAGGGGGGTGACGTGAGACACACCAGAGGGGGCCGGACGGGGGGGCGGGGGGGGGGGAGGGGCAGGGGCCACCAGGGAGGGAGGAACCAGGAACAGGGGGGGAGTAACCGGGGGACCACGGTGGGGAAAGCGGCGGTAGAAGGAGACGGACTCGTCAAAGGTGACGTCGCGAGAGTGAAAGAAACGGTGAGACGGCGGGTGGTAGAAGTGCCAGTCGGACGCGTCAAGGGGGAAACCAAGGAAGACGCAGGGGAGGGTGCGGGCAGTGAGCTTGTCCGTGCCAGAGGCACGAACGTGAGCAAGGCAGCCCCAGACGTGGAACGCAGACGCGTCACCAGGGGACCCGGTCCACAGAAGGGTCGGCGAAACCTGCGGCCGCTGGGGGTGCGGCCACAGGTTAAGCTGGTGAGCGGCGTAGCGCACGGCGAACGGCCACAGAAAATGGGGTGCACCGGCGTGGATCATGGAGGTGCGAGCCACCTCCATGACCAAACCGATGCGTCGCTCAGCGACCCCATTCTGCTGCGGGGAGTCCGGCAGGGTAAACGTCTGGGTGATGCCCTCCGCACGACAGAAGCGACCAAGGACACCTGAGGCGAACTCGCCACCCCGGTCGGAGTGGAGGCGCAAGGCAGGGAGACCGCGGTGGAGACGAGCAGAGACAAGCCAGGGGATGAGAACGTCAGGCACGTCGGCCTTCCGCTCCAGGGGAAAGACGGTGGTGTAACGTGTGAAGTCGTCGACAAGCACTAGGAAGAAGCGCTCGCGACGCGGCCCATGGACCGGGGCTGGGCCCCAGACGTCCATGTGCAGAGTCTGCAGGGGTGCGGTGGTAGGGGGAAAAGAGGAGGAGTGAGGGGCACGGCGGAGCCGGCCCTCGACACAAGGCGTGCACGGTGGGGTGGGGGATGAGGGAAACTCAGGGAACGAACCGGGGAGACCAAGGACGAGACCGTGCTGGGACATGTGACGCAGACGCGGGAGTGCAGGGTGACCAAGGCGGTGGTGCCAAAGGAGAGTCGGATGAGTGAGGGACCAACAGGAGCACGCAGCAGCAACCTGGGTGGACGCAGCTACCTGGGGGGAAGACCCAGCCGGGGACGTCGCGGTGTCAAGTGTGAACAGGCCGGACACCGGGTCCCGGGGGAAAGTGGTAAGGGGGGCACCAGTGGCGGCCTCGGTACAGACAGCATACCGCTCGTGACCAGGGAACGTAGTGGTGACGCCAAGGTCCTGGAGGCAGCCGACACCAACTAGGTTCCTGGAGAACGAGGGGATATGCAGACCGGTGAGCGAACCTGAAGGAACCGCCGGACAGGGAAGGGAGGTGGAACTGCGGGCAACGACGGGACCACCGGAGGGGTCAGCAAGAGTAACTGCAGCGGGAACAGGCAGCGGCGTCAGCGTCGTGGAGTCGCGGAAGAAACACCGGGAGGCGCCAGAGTCCAAGGTGAAGGAAAGCGCAGCAGTCGCGCGAGGCGGCAGTGAAGCGGTGGAAGCACCAAGGCTAAGCAAAGCAGGAGATCCTACGCCTGACGCAGCAGGGGAGTCTACGCTAGGCACCGCTACACTAGGCAACACGGGGTAATAAGAGGGAAGCACACTAGAGTCATCAGCATACATCACATGCAAGGCCGCTACAATGGCATCCATGTCCAAGTCAAAAATCCGAATGCTACGCCTAAGCAAGCTGTGCCAGTCCGGGAGGTCGGGCGCCGGGCCAAAGCGCTGGCGGAACAGGTCGTCCAGACGACGAAAACAGCGAGGAGTGGAATGACCGATCTTACCGCAAACGAAGCCGCGGCGAGGACCGGTCTGGATCTGGTACTGACAGGGCCCGCCTCCAGAACCACCACCCGGTGCACCACCACGCGCACGACCACCACCAGCTCCAGGCCACCCAGGCGGGAGAGCACTCGCCGGCCTCGTCTGCGGCGGCTGCTGCGGAGGCTGCTGCTGCTGCGGCTGCTACAACGGTGGAGGCAGCGGGGCAGCTGGACCGGGCAGGGTCCCCACGTCCGCACCGGCACCGGACGACCCGCCTCCACCACTACCCCCACCCGCACCCCCGCCACCCCCGCCGCTCCCAACCTTGGGGCGGCGGCCCTTCCCCGAGCGGGACTGCACTGCAGCAGCAGTCTCAGCCACAGCGACAGAGCCGTCGGAGAAGGTACACTGAGCGGGGGCACAACCCTGAAAGATAGGGACCGGTACTGTACCGCTCGCCTGGGCTATGGAGCGGTGACGAGTCTCTATGGCAGTCAGGGTGTCAACAAAGTCGGTGAGGGTGAGAGCAGCAGGGTGGATGCTAAGGAACTGGTCGCGGGCGGCGGCAAGGCGGTCAGGGAGGCGGGTGGCAAGGAGGTAGAGGGTAGAGGTCATGGGAGGCTGGTGGACTCTAAGTTGTGCATCAGTGCAGGCAGCGCGCCAGGCCTCATCTATCGAGCGCAAGTGGGCAGCGAGGTCAGAGACAGTGGGGAAGGACGCCAGGTCAGGAAAGAGCAGGGGGAGGATCAGGCGACCCACTGAGGCAGCAGGAGGGGTAGAATAGCGCTTGATGACAGCATCGAGGTAGGCCTGGGCGGTAGAAATGGTTCTAAAGCGAGGGCGCTCAAGGGGGGGGAGGGCATTGCTAATGGCGAGCTGAGCAAGGGCATCGCGGGAAAGCCAGACAGAGCGGGCAAGGGCAGCGGCGGCAGTGGACTCGCGCTCAGCGGGCGTGGGATCAGCGGGCAGCACAGCAGGGGGGTCAGGGCAGGGGAGCATACCGTCTAGGTGTGCAGAAAGCGGGTGGCCGTCCTGCCGCTGGCCAGTGAGGTGGCGGCGAAGGTCAGCCAACCACGCCTCGAACTCCAGAGGCTGACCCTCAGCATCAAAACGAAGCTCAGCAGCCATGAGGGGCAGTGGAGGACAGTGGAGTGCGGTGTAGTGCTGTGCAGTGCGGTGCAGGGCGGTGCAGTGCGGTCCAGTGCGGTGCAGTGCGATGCAGTGCGGTGCAGTGCGGTCCAGTGCGGTGCAGTGCGGTCAGTGCGGTTCAGTGAGGTGCAATGCGGTGCAAGGCGGGGCAGGAAAGTGCAGGAGGGTGCAAAGTGGTGCGGGGAACGGGGGACAGTACCAGGAAGTATGGAGGGCCGGGGCAGGCGCGACGGGGCCGGGCAGGCGCGACGGGGCCGGGCAGGCACGTCGAGGCCGGGCAGGCGCGACGGGGCCGGGCAGGCGCGACGGGGCCGGGCAGGCGCGACGAGGGGCCGGGCGGCTGCGACGGGGCCGGGCGCCTGCGACGGGGCCGGGCGGCAGCGACAAGGCCGGGCAGCAGCTACGAGGCCGGGCGGCAGCGACAGGGCCGGGCGGCAGCTACGAGGCCGGGCGGCAGCGACAGGGCCGGGCGGCAGCGACGGGGCCGGGCAGGACACAGCAGGGCCGGGCGGGGTCGACGGGGCCGGGCGGGCGCGACGGGGCCGGGCAGGTGCGACAGGGGCCGGGAAGCTGCGACAGGGGCAGGGCGGGCGCCACGGGGCCGAGAGGCTGCGACAGGGCCGAGCTGGGGCGACGGGGCCGAGCAGGGGCGACGGGGCCCAGGAGGGTGGATACGGGGCCCAGGGAGGAGCGCGGCAGGGCCCAGGAGGGGCGCAACAGGCCCAGGAGGGGCGCTACGGGCCCAGGAGGGGCGCAATGGGGGCCCAGAAGGGGCGCGGCGGGGCTCAGGAGGGGCGCAATGGGGGCCCAGGAGGGGCGCTACGGGCCCAGGAGGGGCACTACGGGCCTAGGAGGGGCGCGACGGGGCCTGGGAGGGGCACGACGGGGCCCAGGAGGGGCGCTACAGGGCCCAGGGAGGGCGCGACGGGTCCCAGTAGGGGCGCTACGGAGCCCAGGAGGGGCGCGACGGGGCCTGGGAGGGGCGTTACGAAGCCCAGGAGGGGCGCTACGGAACCCAGGAGGGGCGCGACGAGGCCCAGGAGGGGCGCTACGGGGCGCTACGGGGCCTGTGAGGAGCGCGACGGGGCCCAGGAGGGGCGCTAAGGGGCGCGACGGGGCCCTGGAGGGGCGCTACGGGGCCCAGGAGGGGCGCTAGGGGGCGCGACGGGGCCCTGGAGGGGCGCTACAGAGCCCTGGAGGGGCGCGACGGGGGCCTGGAGGGGCGTTACGAAGCCCTGGAAGGGGGGCGCTACGGGGCCTGGAGGGGCGCTACGAGGCCCTGGAAGGGGCGCGACGGGGCTAGGGGGAGGGGTCGCGACTGGGCTCAGGAGGGGCGGGGCGAGGCTAGGAGACGCGACGGGAGGAGCGGAAGCGGTAGGTGGGGGGGGGGGGGGGGGTCGAAACCTACTCGTGATACCATATCAAACCTAGAATTTTAATGATAAGAGAGAGAGAGTACACAAACATATACCTAAATGTTGTACTCTCTAGAAGGTGACCCTATACAGTCTATACAAACATGATAACTACACATGTTTGACAGGGGCCTGCTAGAGGCGCGACGGGGCCGTAGGGGCGCGCGGGGCCAGCTAGGGGCGCGACTGGGCCGTAGGGGCGCGTGGGGCCAGCTAGGGGCGCGAGGGGCCGGTAGCTGGCGGCACGGGGCGGAAGCGGGTGGGTGGACCTACCTACTCGTGATACCATGTTAAGACTAGAAAGAATTATTAGAAGAATGGAGAACAGGGGAGATATAGCCTTTGGGTTGCACCCACTAAGAACATACCCTATCTAGCCTACAACTTCTACATAAGAACATATGCATAAGTTGACACTAACACCCCCTTCGGCTGGCTGCTACTAAGCTTGCTGCCCGACTTCGAACGAGTCAGGAACCACTTTGGGAATAACAGGCAGCCTGCAAGCATTCCGTCTACTATGACCGTCCCAACCACAGAGCACCTTCTACAGGCTGAGTTGCAGAATTTGAGGGGCTTCTGGTTGGGTTTCCCCTATTTGTGGTGGATAAAATGAAGTCTGCCTTTCTTGGTTCAGCACCCGTGTGGAGTGTACCAAAGCCGACTTTGGTGTCGCGGAGTGAAAGCAACCTTGAGTGCCAGCAGCTGTAACGCAGAGCCACGTATTGGCTCTGGTATGGTGTCCCAAATTTCTTGTACCGTCACTTCAAGATCCCCAGGTCGGGGACTCATGAAACCAGGCTCGGCTGGCTCGCTTTGGGGTGCTGGGACCATGGCATGCTGGTACCTGTAGGTTGGAAATGGGGATTCAGGAGAGAGATGGTGAGGAGGGGACGGGGACTAGCGGGTTCATGGACGTCATACAATGGATGTATGGTTATCAATCTTGTATGGAGAAGATGTTAGGGGGTTTGCTTTGCAAGCGCTCGTTTCAAAACCAGACCGAAGATTGCATTGCATGGCAGAGGAAGGTTGAGGAAAGGAGAAGTGTGGGCAAAACGAACTTACTCGAGAGAATCTGCAGCCACTTCCACTTGGGTGGCTTGGAATCTCGTGATTCGCACTGCCTTGTCACATCAGATGTCTCTCCAATATTGTTAACCACATTGTTCCTTCCAGAACTTGTGGGTGTAGAATCCTTATAACGGATACTTCTGGTGGATGATGATTCGTCGGTCCTTGCGGAGGCAATCCGAGACGCAGGTTCCGAAACCACAGCATGTGAATCTCCATGCTGGCTGCGGGCCGCAGCTGCAAAACTTCCAGATAGGTCTCGACGTGCGCTGACGGATTTCGTTCCGCCTGACGGCGGTCTGGTTGCTGGTTCAGACCGAACTCCCGATGACGAACGACCGTCCTCAGACGTGCGGATGTGCGAAGAACTCTTGGGCCTTCCAGACGAGTAAGGATTGACTGGCGACAAAACCCAGCGTGCGACAGCCATCGAACGGTCGAAATGCTTGGTCTTGGTTGGCGTTTCCAATCGCAGCGAGCCGTGCTGCGACGTCGCTTCATGCTCCTTCCGTCGTACAGATTCTTCGCGACGCTTTTCGTTACCGTCGCTTCCCGCTCGTTGCCCCTCCATTTTCCCCAGCTGACTATCTGCTGCGCACAAATTGGATTTCCGCTCACCCGCACCTGCCCCCGACACCTCTGTCGCAGCAACTCTCTCGTGATTTCCGCTTCCGTTAGTGTCACCTGCGCCATCACCTCTTGCGTTGCATCGCTCCGTACCATCACGAACACTGTCACTTGCTCGGCACTCGACGGCGCGAGATTTTCCAGCTTCCGAAACCGCTGAGTCAGCTACGTCGCCGTTTGACGCGTCGTGCGCGATTGAGCGAACGAGGCTGTCGAGAAACGGAGATTCAAACGGACACGTGGCAGTCGCGCTGCGCTGCCCGAAAAGACGCGCGCTTGTCGGATTAATCAAAGACTGAGACTGCGCCTTTCGCAGCGTTGCCTGCCGCTGCTGCTCCGCCTGAACTTCCGCCTGGACTAGCCGCGCGCACCCGCAGGGACACAATTCCGACTTCTTCTTCCCCTTTCTCTCCAGCGCGCTTTTCCGCCTCCGCCTTTGGCGGTCGCCCGCTCCCTTCTTGCTCACGGCGTCGTTGCCAGCGCCTGTGACGGTCGCAGATGCGGCTTTGCGCCTCTGGGCGCTGTTCCCGCTGGCGCTGCCGCCGCAGGTGACGCTTTGGGCGGACGAAATCGGGCTCAAACTCACGGAACTTGCGTTGTCGTCGCTGCTGCTGCAGAGCGATTGTCTAAAGGGGTTCGAATCCGCGAGTAGCCGCTCGAGTTGTAACGAAAGCTCCTTAGCGCGAATAGTCCCCTCGTCCCCGCGCGCGGTCCCCCCTTCCGCCCGCGCAGCCTCCACTTCCGCGGATGACTTCCGCTCGCCGGGCGCAGCCTCCGCTCCGGGGAATGCCGCTGCGCCGCGTGATACTGCCTTGTCGGAGGATAGCGAGGATGCTTGAGTCGAAGAAACGCCGATCCAATGGGCGGCGGAGGGTTGTTGGCGCTGCGCAGATTTATCCGCCATGTACTTGACCCTTAAATCTCGGTCGAGCGATTCAGCAAGTATTCGGAACGAGGTGTGACGCCGTAAAGCGAGAGTGAAGGGTTGTGCGACCAGTCTGCTCGTAACGAATCAGCCTATTACTACTAGTAGTAGTAGAAGCGAATGCATTCCTGGTTTCGTGCTCTAGCTTTCTATATGAACCTGGGGGGTTTCGCGAGGCAACTAGACCTAGATAATGGAGGAGACTGCGGGGACGGTGTCCAGAATACAACAGGCCTAGCGGATCGTCCGACTTTTATGTACTTGATCTTCGTTGACGCTGAACCACTGTTGCTTTTGACAAGTACAGTACCATCGCTCTGTCACAGAAAGGCACAATGCGCGATGTCAATTGTCGAAGTCTCGCGTCTATGGCGTCTGTTCTATGGGAAAGGTGCTGGGATAAGACTCCATCTTGCATGACGCGGCAACGAGCACCTCAACGACCTTCAACGAACGGAACACAGCAGTGACTGCGGTACTACAGTGGGTCTCAGTCACATGCCGCCGCGCTAAACCGCATTCTACCACCCCATGATGCGCCAGGTGGATCTGCGTCAGCCAAGAGTTGATGTTTTAACAAGCATCGAATCGAAAGGCTTGGGGGTGCTGTAACTGGTAAGGATGGATCCTCATGGAGCACTGCAGTTGCGAAGCGAACGAGGGTGCTTGCATGCTTGCATGTTCCACGGAAATACAGTTCTGTACTGTACATGCATTCGGGTCGGGTCGGGAATCGGGATACGGGACGGGACGTGTAGTTCTCTCTTGTCGAAAGTCGTCTACGCCACTATTCTAGGAGAAGAGTGTCAATAAGTACAGTTACTGTAGGCTGGATGTACGGTTATTATCGGCTGCAGCTGCAGGTGCCATCTTGCCATGCCATGCCATTGCTGCAGCAGCACATGATGACTCAGCGAAAAGGGATGGTTCGTCGCATGGCATCGCTGGGCAGGGGGGGGCATAACAGTAGTCACCCATCCAGGCCAGGGGAGTGGGCCATAACACCGTGCCCTAAGTGCCCAGCGACATCCGTTGACAAATTGTGTTGAGGCACCGAGCCTAAACGTATTCAAACGTATACTAGCGTGCTGATATACGATGGATGTCGTCGTTATCCCACTATGGACACGCCCTAACGACGGCCATCCTAGTGCTTGCTAGAGAATGAGAAAGTCACACATTCAGAGAAAGGTCCTCCGGAATTCCCGGCGTGTTGACTCGAGCCGATTGAGAGTGTGTGTGACTCGTTGACGTCGTACGCGAGCTCGCGAGCGGCGTTTGACAAGGATTTGCTGGGTTGGACTGGATGACAAAAGTGAGGTGGTTTGGTTTGTTTGTGCATTTGCGACGTCATGGTACTCCTGGATGTATTACTGTATAAGCACCAGACAGAAAGCAAGTGAACAAGAGATTAGAGTGAGTTGGAGGGAGCAAGGAGGTATAAGAGCTGGCATCGAAAAGAATTGGTGGGGGAAGGGTTGGGGCAATGCCTCTCGAATGCTACGATTTCCCAGTTGCCCGCACTTCCGCTAAGTTCCCGCTAAACGTTCATGAACAGACTTCCACCAACAACCCCACTCCCCCTCGTTGACCCTTCACGCGGTGAAGGACAGCGCGAGGCATGACCTTCCACCAACACTGGCCATCCCAATTCAACTTAACCCCGAGGGTTGATGACGAGTTTGAGGCGGCGATGGCGAGGAGGCGCCGACGACGACACACTAAACCGCTGCCTTAAAGGCGATTACAGCTTGCTTCTCTGAAGTTCGCAAATCAGGGTTACAGCTTGCATCTCTGTTCTGGAATTGACTTTCGCGTTGCTGCGACATTTGCAGCGTTGAACTTGTCCAGGTAAGTCAACGCAGAAGGGTTTCACACGTCAGCGCACAAATTTCTGGTGATAGAAATCGTTGCCCGTGGGAAACAAATGCGGTGCACGGTGGAAGAACTTCAACATGAGGGCGTGGAACATGGTTTGCGCAACCCACAAAAGCGCAACCTAAATTGCGCTTCTCGCAAAAGTCACGAAAATTCGATGCTGGAACATCGGGTTGCGCAACTACTGAGGGTTCCACAACCGGGATGGTACATCGGGTTGCGCTTCCAAATCATAAATTTTGCACAAGCATCCTGCGATACACCAACACCCTATAACCATTTCGCCAAAACAACACCTTTCGCACAACGGAACCCACCATCGGGGTTCGGCGAAGCAAGTGGCATGCTTCTTTGTGGTGCATCCCCAGTTGGTTTCGTGCAGCCAAAATTTTAGAGAGGGCAGCAAGCACCCACATAAGTTGCGCAACTCGGGTTGCGGTTTCGTGCGTATGCACAAAACACGGTGGGTTGCGCAACCCACTCATCTTTGTCGCAAATTGACTGTACGAGGTTTGGTGAGCTATGTAACCCAGATGGGTTGTCGAGTATACTTCAACACTCCCCTTCACTCCTGAGTGTATGTCTCTGGATAAGTATCGCCACGTTTGCAGATTTCAACCAGGTTGGAGCAGTATTGAAACATGCCGCATGGGAGTTTCTAAGTCAGAAAATCAGCTACCATTTCTTATGTAGGGAAGTATTTGAGGATGACCTTCCCTTTCTCGATTTCATCATTGACGAAAAAAGTAACTTAGGGCGATGTTTTTGTCAAACATGTGTATCTCCTATGTTTGCATAGACTATATAGGGCCACCTCTTAGAGGGTACAACAATTAGGTATATTCACCTGCACTCTCTCTCTACTCATCATTCAGTTCTCAATTTGATATGGTATCACGCGTAGGTTAGGATCCCCCACCTACCGCTTCCGCCCGTACCCTAGCTAGGCCCCGCCGCTTCCCCCTGGGCCCCGTCGCGCCTCCTAGCCCCGTCGCGCCCCTCCTGGGCCCTGCCGCGCCTCCTGGCCCCGTCGCGCCCCCCTAGCCCCGTCGCGCCCCTCCTGGGCCCCGTCGCGCCACCCTGGTCCCGTCGCGATCCCCTAGCCCCGTCGCGCCCCTCCTGAGCCCCGTCGCGCCCCCTAGCCCAGTCGCGCGCCTCCTGGGCCCAGTCGCGCCCCTCCTGGGCCCCGTCGCGCCCCCCTGGCCCCGTCGCGACCCCCTAGCCCAGTCGCGCCCCTCCTGGGCCCCGTCGCGCCCCCCTGGCCCCGTCGCGACCCCCTAGCCCAGTCGCGCCCCTTCTAGGCCCCATCGCGCCCCTCCTGGGCCCCGTCACGCCTTTTAGCCCCGTCGCGCCCTGCCTGGCCCCGTCGCGCCCGCTCAGCCCCGTCGCGCCCTGCCTGGCCCCATCGCGCCTGCCTGGTCCCGTCGCGCCCTGCCTAGCCCCGTCGCGCCCTGCCTGGCCCCGTCGCGTCTGCCTGGCCCCTCCGCGCCTGCCAGGCCCCGCCGTGCCTGCCTGGCACCGTCGCGCCCTGCCCAGCCCCGTCGCGCCCTGCCTGGCCCCGTCGCGCCTGCCTGGCCCCGCCGCGCCTGCCTGGCCCCGCCGCGCCTGCCTGGCCCCGCCGCTCCTGCCTTGCGCCCGTCCCAGCCGGCCCCGCGCCCGCCCTTGCGACCTCCGCGCCCGTCTGCTCGGCCCCTGCGCCCGTCCCAGCCGGCCCCGCGCCCGTCCCGTCGACCTGGTGCCCGCTGCTTCTTGCCCCCGCGCCCGTCCTGCTCCGAGCTGTGTGCGGCCCGCTCATCGTCCCTGCCCCGGCCCTGCATCCTCCCTGGTACGGTTCCCCATCCCTGCACCGCACTGCACCGCGCTGCACCGCACTGCACCGCACTGTACAGTCCTGCACTGCTCCTTATGGCGGCGGAGCTTCGCTTCGACGCTGAAGGCAAGCCTTTGGAGTTCGAGGCGTGGCTCGCCGACCTCCGTCGCCACCTCACTGGCCATCGGCAGGATGGCCACCCGCTTTCCGCACACCTTGACGGTACGCTCCCCTGCCCAGACCCCCTTGCTGTTCTGCCCGCTGACCCCACACCCGCTGAGCGCGAGTCTACTGCAGCCACTGCCCTTGCGCGCTCTGTCTGGCTTTCCCGAGACGTTGTCGCTCAGCTTGCCATTAGCAATGCCCTTCCCCCGTTCGAGCGCCCTCGTTTTAGGTCCATCACTACCGCCCAGGGTTACTTAGATGCTGTCATCAAGCGCTATTCCACCCCTCCTGCTGCCTCGGTGGGTCGCCTGATCCTCCCGATGCTCTTTCCCGACCTTGCGTCTTTCCCCACTGTCTCTGACCTAGCTGCCCACCTGCGCTCGATAGATGAGACCTGGCGCGCTACCAACACTGACGCACAGCTTAGAGCCCACCAGCCGCCCATTACCTCTACCCTCTACCTGCTTGCCACCCGCCTCGCTGACCGCCTTGCCGCCGCCCGCGACCGCTTCCTTAGCATTCCCCCCGGTAAGATCACCCTCACCGACTTTGTAGACACCCTGACTGTTATTGAGACCCGCCACCGCTCCATCACCCAGGCGAGCGGTTCCGTGCCGGTCCCTATCTTTCAGGGTTGTGCCCCCGCTCAGTGTACCTTCTCCAACGGTTCTGTCGCTAGGGCTGAGACTGCTACTGCAACGCAGTTTCGTTCGGGGAAGGGCCGCCGCCCCAAGGCTGGGCGCGGCGGAGGAGACGGGGGTGCAGGAGTGGGTGGTGGTCGAGTCCGGTCGTCTGGTGCTGGAGAAGACGAGGGGACCCTGCCCAGTCCAGCTGAGCCGCCGCCTCCGCAGTCGCAGCAGCAGCAGCAGCAGCCGCAGCAGCCGCACCAGTCGCAGCAGCCGCAGCCTCCGCAGCAGCCGCCGCAGACGAGGCAGGCGAGTGTCCTCTCGCCCGGGTGGCCTGGCGCTGGAGGTGGTCGGGCGCGTGGTGGTGTGCCGGGTGGTTGTTCGGGAGGCGTGCATTGTCAGTACCAGATCCAGACCGGTCCTCGCCGCGGCTTCGATTGCGGTAAGCTCGGTCATACCACTCCCCGCTGTTTTCGTCACCTGTACCGAGGCCACCACTGGTGCCCCCCTGTCCATGTTCCCCCGGGACCCGGTGTCCGGCCTGTTCACTCTGGATACCGTGACCCCCCCGGCTGGGGCGCCCCCTCAGGTGGCTGCGTCTACCCAGATTGCTGCTACCTGCTCCTGTCGGTCCCTCACTCACCCGACTCTCCTTTGGCACCACTGCCTAGGTCACCCTGCGCTCCCGCGTCTGCATCACATGTCCCAGCATGGTCTCGTCCTTGGTCTCCCTGGTTCTCCCCGCTTTTCCCTCCTCCCCAGCCCCACATTGCACGCCTTGCGTCGAGGGTCGGCTTCGCCGTGCCCCTCACTCCTCCTCGTTTCCCCCTACCGCCGCGCCGCTGCAGACCCTGCACCTGGACGTCTGGGGCCCCGCCCCCGTCCATGGGCCGCGTCGAGAGCGCTACTTCCTTGTGCTTGTCGACGACTTCACTCGCTACACCTCGGTCTT